CTGCTTGGACAATCAACTTACTGTATCAGATTTGGTGGATTCCAGACGTTGAAGTAGGTTGGACGGGTAACTTGATCCAAATGTGATCAAACTCGCGTCGTCCGGCGGAGCCTCGTGGCTTAAGTGGTTAGAGCGTTGGCTGTACTAAAACCTTCACCTTTCTGTCTTGGGTTTGAATCCCACCGACGCGCCGAGTTTTTCACAGCTGGGTCAATGTGCATTTTTCAAAATTTGCCAAAACATCTAGGAAAAGAACAAATATTAGCAACGGTATAGAAAAGGACCCAATTTAACTGTCGGTAGACTGCGGATCGTACCATATAGGGTTTTATCTTAGCATACATTAACAGGTCGTTGCCGATATTACACTATCAACAACGATTCCTTTCACGACCCCACATCTTAGCTCAAAACCCGTTATTTTGGGAAATTTACTTTGTGTTTATCGTTTAATTACTGCTCCCATTACCGTTGTCGCACACCAGCTTAGGATATAACTTTCGGCATAAATCCAGGCAATTTCTGTGTTTTCTATCATTTTGTCAGCTTACTGTCTAGCCTTCTGCCCCACCCATAAAACTCCCTTTACCCCAAATCACGTATGGCAGGATCCACAGCCTACTGACAGTTAAGTGGGGTCCTGATCTTTACCGTGACCCAAATATTTTTGCCATTATTTTTTTATTTATTTTATTTATTTTTGCAACTATATTTACATATATGGGGGCACTTATACTCATTGGGAAAATCCATAATACCTAAGTGACAATTTTTTGCAGACCTTAGTTTATGCAGATGGCCAGAAAGAAAATCGTTTGAAAGTCGTTTTCCTATCTTGACCGAAATATCTTGGGACTGTGCTGCACGATAATTTATATTGCAACCCTGCTTTTAGGATAAAAACGCAACAGAATTTTGAATAACATTTTGTAAGATGATATATCTAGTATATACCGTAGCATAGCCCAATTAGGAGGGGATCGTCTGTGACCTCCGTTTGATCAAGGCACTTTCTATTTTTAAAGTGAATTACAGTAGTGTGCTACCTCATGAAATGTCAATCAAAATTTCGAAATGCGTTCTCTTTTCGGAAAGATAAATTACGTAGTGTTGTAAAAATAATCATGATGCAGCATAAATCTACAATGATCCAGTTACCTTAGGGTGTCGGCTTTCGATAGAACATATCTTCGGCTGCATGCAAGATCTATACTCTACAAAAAATGACTACTTGAGTAATAGGCAATTTTCTCATTGATTTTCGATGCCCGAGAAAATTCAATTATATTTCATGGAAAACATGCATAAAAATATACATTCTTTTACTTATTGGGTAGAAAATCACGTATTCCCCCAATTTCATACTCAAAGGAAGATTATAATTCGGTTTTAAAAAAGTTTCTAATTGTGAAATTTTTTAATACCGTTAAATGGCCGTTCATGAAACGTCATGTATCTGCATTTACGAATGTGGCGTGTAAAGTTAACAATATTGCTTAAATCCACTGCTCAATTTTATGAACCTCATATGGTCTCCTCTTAACACCGTAGAGAAATGCATGGTTTTCCGTACACGGAAAACATACAGCTTGTAGTTTTGAAACCCTGAATGCAAGTGTAACAGCAGGTCGGGTTCAAAATTATTCAGGAATAAGAAAAGTTTTTTTAAAACCGAATTATAATCTTCTTTTGAGTATGAAATTGCGGGAATACGTGATTTTCTACCCAATAAGTAAAAGAATGAATATTTTTATGCATGTTTTCATGAAATATAATTGCATTTTCAAGGGCATCGAAAATCAATGAGAAAATTGCATACTACTCAAGTAGTCATTTTTTGCAGAGTATAGATCTTGCATGCAACCGAAGATAAGTTCTTTCGAAAGCCGACGCCCTGAGGTAACTGGAACCTTATAGATTTATGCTGCATCCTGATTAGTTTTACAACACTACGTAATTTATCTTTTCGAAGCGAGAACGCATTTCGAAATTTTGGTTGACATTTCATGAGTTAGCTCATTTACTGTAGTTGCGATGCGAACCGATTACGCCACGCGCAGTTCTATGGCCATCTGGTGATATTGCACCGTTTTATCATTGAACTATCACTGTATGTACTACGGAACTGGTGGTAATAAGGGTCATATGATCGGATGAAGCGCAGTGTTCTTCAAAATGTAAAAAGACTCGTATTTGCAATGCATGCTTGTTTTACTGCATGAGGAGGCACTTCGTAGGAGGATATTGTAGCTGATCTATCGCAGGAGATGTAAGCCGAAATTCTGAAACGGAAACGTAGTTTTACCATACTCCCGACATACTAGATTAAGCAGAAATCTCAGACACGTGTTTCGCGGATGTTTTTGCCGCTGCACTCCCCGATCGTTCTTACGGAACTCACTAGTTTCGTTTGTGCCTTGCAGGCTTTCTCTAGAACACAACCAGCAGCCGCGCAGCGACGCATGATGTACACAGTAGGTTTTTACTAACAGAGACAAGAGAGACTGGAATGGTCACTTCTGGCTTATTAGCCGTCTACAGCCAGTCATACCCAACCCCGAAGTGTGGCACACCCGAGGCTCTAACTCACGACCTGTTAGTTAGAAGTCCACGCCTCTAACCACTGGACTACGTTGCCCTGTCGGTTTCGATCGGGAATAAACAATGGTTGTGGCGCCCTCACCGATTGTTCTTACGAAACTCACTTGTTCCGTTGTGCCTTCTAGGCTGTCTCTCGAGCCCATCCAGCAGCCGCACAGCAGAATAGCGTTACCGACGTTTATAATATTACCAACAGAGACAAGGGAGACTGGAATGGCCACCTCTAGCTTATTAGCCGTCGTCAGTCAGCCATACCCAACCTCGAAGTGTGCATTACCTGGGGCTCAATCTAGGGACCTGTTAGTTAAAAGTCCAACGCCTCTAACCACAGAGCCACGTGCTCAACGGTTACAAGAGGAAGTGAACTATTGCCACCCACAAAAAGTTACAGTACGGTAATCCAAGCGTACATTACGAGGGTGATGTTATACTTTATTTTTACCCCACGGGCTGACAGGGTTTATGGTTGACCCGAGAGGTATGATCAGCACTCTCTGATTGACAAATTACGCCAAATGGCGTACTTTTCGATCCAACAGAACCTCGACCTGACAGACTGCTGTTTGTCCCAACGCAACCTCCCAGTAGGCGTCTTTGGATTCCTAATTTAAGTGTTTGGAAAAGTGTTTCGCCAAAATTTTGAACTATAATGAACTCTTGTCCATTAGACCACCGATTAGCTGACTCAGCGGCCTGTTGGAGCAAGTTCTAGGGGACAGAATCAGATCATATGCATAACCAGCAAGTCACTCCGCCTATTACAGCAGCCAAACCGCTTACTGGAGCCGGTGACTCTTCCGAGTCAGAACGCAAACTAGCAAGGCCGGAAAGGTAGTCTTAAGTTCAAAAAAGTGGCTGTTTTAGCCACAACTTCGATCGCTAGCTGGTGTGGCAACGCACAGAGTAAGGCTAGCTCACCAAGGAGATTCTGATTACGCACTATCCGGTGTGAGAACCCGGCGCCTGTGAAAAACTGAAAAAGACATGGACTGTGCGCCGGTGGGCTCGGCAGCCTTGTCGCGCACTGATAAGTTGCTGCACGCTGGTTGGTCCAAACCGAAATCGATTGCTCTGAGCGCGCATTCAAATTATTGGCTTATCAGAGACCAAGACACCAAGGAAGTATTTGAGACTAACTGGTAAAACCTCTCTACTAGACCATATGAAAAACCAATAGCCTGATACCGGTTACTGCTATTTATTAGAGAAAACAGATGGGCAATAATCCACAATCGCACAACTGGCACGACAAAGGAAACAGACACGACTCTAAGGACGCTAGACGAGATATGAAAACGAAAGTGAGAAGAGAATTCGGACACAAATGGTGCCCTTATTCAGCGCGTCATCGCGAAAAGCTCTAGATAAGTTGAGTGGCCCTTTACTTGACGTAAAATGCCTTTCCCCACTGTGGGCTTGAAAGGTTGCAACTGGAGGGATATCTCTGTCCTTCTCAGGAATGAAGGTCAGGTTGCGACGATTTCCTCTCCTGACATCTTTATAACATTCCCACCTACGCGGGGCCTGGGCCGCCATTACAGTAACCAGGTACGCGCAACAGGAACCGGGTCGTGTGCGACACGTGTAGACGGGCTGCCCGGCCTTGTCAGTAACCGAACATACGCACGCCCCTATTGCATTAAAACTGCCATCTCATCGGTACAAGGTAGATGAGGGGAGGAGAGTGACGTAGGTTCTGCGCATGCCTGCCTCAGTAGTTCCCTCGCGCGTCACCGGCGCTGCGCCCACTCTGTTGGACGGGCGCTGGACATCGTCGTATATCGTCGAAATGCGTGCGAGCTCGACTTTTCTGCCTCTTCGGATCCCCGCCTCCTAACCGATTGTGTTCAAATCGGGCTTCGTTTTTGCATCGGCTGATAAACTCGAAGGTCATCTTAGTGACTCCAAAACATTGAAAAGACTAACCACACCCTCCCTATATATTACTTAAGTAACCGTGCGCAAAAGGTATAGGCGTCGGTCTAGTGGACAGCCCTAATTCTTTTGCTTTGTTATCTGGCAATCAAGTTTCTCCTACATGAACACCAGAGAATCCTTCTCATCATCGTCCTAGCAGGGAAAAATCCGGTTTAGAGGGTTCCTCTCTGTCAGTTCTCTCAGCTGCCCAGAAGAAGCTTGAGTTTTAAGCGGCTTGCTGGCAGCCCAAGTACAACCTTTATGGGGTTATTTTTACTGACCTCTACTCACACGGGATTAGAGAATACACAATGTCTGCAGGTAGAAAATCAAAGGGACAAGTTGCTCATGTATAGACAGAACTCGCTTTATTTGGCCTCATAGCAGGACCATTCAGGGTTGGTTTAAGAGGATGGGAGACGTGAGTACAGACAACTCGGAAATGCTGACGGGAGACTCCATGAACTGAGGAGGAGAGACAATCAAATGAAGGTTGGTTGATTGACTACACCCGTGTTGTTCCTCCCGTTGCGGGTTCTCTGCCGGCGACGATCGCTGTGGAGGCCGGAGATGCTGGATGAGGCTGCCACATCTGAACCACCCGATAGGGTACTTTCTCGTTCGTATGCGGTCCGACCACCTGAAGCGCGGTCGATGTAGCCCGAGAGATCCGAGGCCGGACCTGCTGGGGCGCCCTGCAGACGCTCTGGAGAGGGTGGAGAAGGAAGTTGGGGTGTACACTTACGTTTAAAACAACGAACGGGACACTACTTCCCTCATAGGAGTGGCGGTTACTGAACTGTGCTGATTGCAAGACGGAATACGGGAGTCCCGTGTTGTCTTATAACGGGCGGTCGCATGATGACTAACAATGACAGATAATCAATTGAATAATTTTAAAAACTGCTCAGTGCAGGACATGGAGTTAAGTGTCCGGGACATGACTTTTTAGGGTCAGAACCGAAATTTCAACGAACATTCGAGTCGAAGACAATCGACTACTGTGGAATAACCACGTAATGCGCATTCTACAAACAAGTAGTACTACGAGTAGTATTAAATGTATACATCGAACGTATTATACCGTACTCCCGAAATATATACTTGCTAAAAGCCCAGACACGTGTTTCGCCGATATTCTGCCGCTGCGTGACACAGCTGCGAGGGGTTCGGCTCTTCAGTGGGACCCACAGCGTTCTCTATGCGGCTTCTGGTATATGAACTCCAGGGAATAATCAAGTGAATAATTTCAGAAATTACTCAGTGCAAGACATGGAGTTAACTCTCCGGGACATGACTTTTTAGGACCAGAACTGAAATTTCTCTGGAGTCCATATACCAGAAACCGCACAGAGACCGCTGGGGGTCCTACTGAAGAGCCAAACCCCTTGCAGCTGTGCCACGCAGCGGCAGAATATCGGCGAAACACGTGTCTGGGCTTTTAGCAAGTATCTATGTCGGAAGTACGGTATAATACCTTTACCAAATGACAGATAAGTCTTACCGACAAAGTTGGCGGACGTGGCCCTTGGTTTCAATAGCAGAACGTTACTTATATTCCTCAACTGACCCACGGTTCAAATTTTATGCCTTCTACTCCTGAAAATGGGGTGTGGCTTACTGACGACGGCAAAGTCAGAAACAGCCATTTTGATGATGCTCTCCTTTGACGAAAATTCCTAAAGATTATTGATTTTTCTACATACTGGGCGCTCGCAGCTTGGCAGTTGACAAATTCAAAAAAGTCGACGGGGTAACAATCGGGAGATGACACCCAAAAAAATCCGTTACCTAGAAATAATACCTTTAACAGTGGACTCAAACGCCTTCAAGCTATATCAGCGGTTGCAGGCCTACTTTCACGCACTACTTAGGCTTTCCCGACGGCCTAACATGGGCTGACCGAACGAACATCGCAGGAAATTACATGGACGATGGTCGCTGTTACCCAACCTTCCCCATCGTTACACACGTACACCTGAATATACGGCATACATTCGCATTATGGCAGTTTATTACAAAACAAAATCGCTTTTAAATAGGTTAAGTCTGCACAACATGGGACAAGAACAGTTCCCAGGCATCTGTCAAGGACATGGCATTAAGGCCAAACCAAAGACGATACTATGTGAGCCCACACAGCTCCTCCTTCGTGGGGCTTCCTTTTCAGTCTACTCCAGTATGCCTCAATGGCATTGGTGTGCCGTCCGGTGGTAGGGTCCTTGAAGTTCTTTGAGTGGTTAACAGAAAAATGTAACCTTCTGAGGGAAGACGATTATACGCCTTCCACTCGTCCGTTACCACTATACTGCCTTTGGCAACCCATTTTGTAATAACGGAACGGAGAGCGGGCCAACTTAGATCATTCGCCTGTTCAAATAAGGCTTTCTGTCAGCTAGTATCGTACATCTCGACTAGCCACCACCCCTAAAACACCTATTACCACCTGTCCCGTAAGACAGGCTGCTTTGGTTAGGCGGATTTTTTGGGGTGCCATCTCCCGATTGTTACCGTCGACGGAATGGAGACCTATTCCAACCAGCTTTTTTGGGACTACAAACTTCGATTTCTATGACGGAAGATTTTTCTAATTTTCCTAGTCAAAGTCTGCTGGAACATGATGCAAGTGGCGCACTGTATGCGAAACCCAGAACTTTAGTACTTAAGGATATACATATATATAAACCTGCAAACCTTCCAATAGTGCATGCACCGTATGCCAACGCTGTCATTCCCACGACTGCAGTAGCTATGACTACAGTCCGTATTTTATGATCAAAGTAATACAATAGACCCTATTTACCAAAATGGGGACCGTCCAGTCGGTATCTTTTAGGCAGCCGTTTTGGGATACGTGTTTGGAACGGAAGGAATTGCCTCTATGCATGAACACCGGCACTGAATGGACTCACCGTCATCTCTCCAAGCGCGACCGCCGGCCGACCGACCCCTGCGTGGAGTGATATGGACGATACCAGCCTCGTCCACCTCATCAAAACCACCCTCTCGACCGCCTTCTTCTCCATAGTAGGGTTGTCGTTGCTGCTGCCGGCGGTCGGGACTCCAACTGTCGTAGGCGTTGTGTTGGGCTGAGCGGACACTCTCGACGGCCTCCTCGACTCCCTCTGGTCCTTGTCGCGCGTCATCGTTTACACTCCTGCGAGTTCGTTCCTCCTCTTCTGTCTCTGCTTCTTCCTCTAGGTCGCCCAGCGGGAGAGATCGGTTCATTTGGGACGGTGCGCCTGGGTACCTAGCGTTAGGGGGGAGGGGGGAGTGGGAGGAAAGGCGGGATCAGGCAAGAGTTCTTTCCGATATTTTGGATTTCGGCATTGAGTCTCACCTTCCTCCCTCCCATGGACATTTTCTCTGCTTCGATCCAGTAAACTTATCGATAGGAGAACAAGAAATGACTATGCCGTCTACTAATTGTATTCGCGCGCCTTTCAGAGAAATGTGTCTCTCCTGTAAAACTGGTAATTTCAACAACAGCAAAATATGTATTCTCAGTTTTCGCTGAGCCATAACGCGTAGATTTTTCGTTCAATTCTGAGGGGTGTTTTCCGCCTAACCACTAATGTCGGTGAGAAAACCGAACTGTCGATGTCTATATATAGTGTTAGAGGGGCGCTCACCTATCTTTTTTACGGAACTCACTCGTCCCATTGTGCCTTAGGGGCTCTCTCTCTCTCGAGCCCAACCAGCAGCCGCACAGTGGTTCATGATATGGGCAGAATTGTACCGCTCCTCACAGTATTTATAGGCGGTGACGATCTTGTTACGACGGGTTTGCGTCTATTCGGGGGCCGTCGTTCGAACGCTGGCTGTCATCGCACGTGTTTGCATTGACCATAGCTCTCGTCCTGGGATGAAAATCTTCTTTGCCACTCCGCAGCCACTTGTGTTCTCGCCTGCCGCATGAGTGGCAGTGATGATAGCACCTTCATCGGGTCCGTTAGCGTAACTGCGCGGTTCAATACTCACCCCCGACGATGAAAGCTTGTTTGCCGTTGAAATGTCAGGGCAATATAACTATGGTTCCCGAGATCGCCTCTTCTTCTCATATATATACATATAGATCTAATAAAAGCGAAGATTCGAGTTCCCCCGCATAAATGAGAAGAAGAGGCGATCTCGGGAACCATGATTGTATTGTCCTGACGTTTCAAAGGCAGACAAGCTTTCATCGTCGGAGGTGAGTATCGTACGGCATCCCACAGTATTTATAGGAGGGGGGAGATATCAGTCATGCTGACACGGTGATAATTATACGGGGGAGTGGTTAATCGGCTTTGGCGCTAATGGCCCGCATACACACAGGGATCGTCTCTGTAGTCGTCAAGGCAGAGCGGGAGGGAGGGTGACTGCTGTCAATCTGCCTGTCTTTCGTCGGGGGACGGCATTTGAACGTTGGTGGCCATCGCCGGCATTCGCGTTGACCTTAACTGTCGTGTTGGGTTGCTTGTCCTGAAAGCATCCCTCTGACTGCGTTTCTCCCCGTCTGCCGGATTAGTAGTTAAGGCAACAGTATTGATGACTGCGCCTTCGTCGGGCCCGATTTGCGGTGTGGTTACGTGTAAGTCCGTCGTAGGCTCTCCCGTGTTTGGATTCACGTCCGGCCTGACTTCGCGCCTGCTTTTTAGCTCATTGAGCTGCGTCCGGAGGGCTTGGAAGGCTGCAGGAAGGGCGACACAACGGTTTATTGAGGCTGCCTCCGTGTGACAGGCCTCGATCGTTTCCCTGGCTACGCGGGCATTGCCTCGACCCAGAATTTTGGCGTTGTGAAAGGCGAAAGTGTGTCCAGAGTCCGCGCAGTGTTCCGCCACCAGAGACAATAGGTTCATTCTCCTCACTGCCCGCATGTGTTCGTTAACGCGGGTTTTTAACCGTCTGCCTGTCTCTCCGACGGAGTTTGCTTGGCAAGAGTTACACTGGACCCGGTAGATGACATTTGTCGTCTCACCTCGTGGCAGGGGGCCTTCGGTCTCATAACCAAATGCCGAATGGTTGAGTCTGGTCGATGAGCGATCCCGATCCCCAAGGGCCTTAGGAGGCAGAAACTGCCTCAGAGATGCCGTCGATATATGACAGTGCACGCCAGACTTTTGGCTGTACTGTCACCCGATTTTGGCCTGGTTTAGACTGCCTGCTGCGCTCGATGAAGTTACGGGAGTATCCGTTGGACATGAAAAGGCGCTGAACATAGCGGAGTTCTGTCCTTCTGTCATCCGGTTCGCTGCAGTGTGTTTCTGCTCTACTGTAGAGAGTTCGCACACAGCTGTGTTTGTGACATAACGGGTGTTTACTGTGATAGCTTAGGATTTGGCGTATGTCGGTAGCCTTCCTGTACACCGTCGTTTTTATATGCCCGTTTGGTTTTCGATAGACAATATCGTCCAGAAACGGCAACGGTTTGTTGCTTTCCGTCCCCATCGTGAATTGGATGTCCGGAAAAACGGAATTCAGGACACTGTGAAATTCCTCCATCATTTCCCGCTTGATGATGACGATGGTGTCGTCGACGTACCGAGTCCAAACCTTTGGCCTTGGTATGCTGGAAGGAATTCCATCAAAGGCGAGGTAGATTGGGGTGGCAATTTCTGGCCTTTTGTTCGTCGTCAGCCGACTTTACCAAAGCCCATGTTTTTGCCGTGCCTGAACTTCGGATCAAACGCTAATAGGTTCAACGTTCTAGCCACTGAGCCATGGCCCATTAGCCTGTCGGTTGCGGCATGAAATCCTTTCAACGTATATTTGTAACCGTTATGCGACTGCCTGTGCGGGCTCTACAACGAGTTCCAAGGCACGATGGTACGAGCGTGTCCCCTGTCTTATGAGCGGCCTGTGTCATTATCCGGGTTGAATTCGTTGTCCACTTCAGGTCGTGGACACCAGGCCGTTCAACGTGCACCAAAACTTTGGCATTCACTGTCGAACATGAGGAATGTACCAGAGACAACAGGACGCATTGCCGCAGAGTCCGACAGTTACTGTGCGTATGCCGTCTGGCAGTTTCCGTGCGGAAATTTTGTGTTGATGAAGGACCAACTGACGTAGTTGAATAGCCTGCCCTTCTTTACCAGGCCCCGTGCACAATTAACACTTCCGTTATTCAGACTAGGCCGCGCTGGCACAAACGGACCGTCTGGAGGGTCGATTCACTGTTCCACGACAGAACCCTAAATGAAGGACACTACTTCAACATTACGAGTCTTCAAGTCATATACTTGGAACGGCAGCCTTCATTTGCATTCGGAGTAGGTTGCTCTCCTAGGCGATGACTTGCGCATCAACTCGCAAATAAAATCTATTTATTAGTTGTACTCTAAACTAGTAAGTAGTACTTTATATAGTATATCAACATTCGGGGGAGGACTGTCGGTAGCAAAAGTCGAAATCGATTAGTTGGACAGACTCACATTTCCGAAGGCTCAAACAGGTGTTCCGTCGGGGCCGCCTTCTCTTGAACTGTAAAATAGAGAACAAACTAAGCTTAAAATGCTGTATTTTTAAGATTACATAAAAATTCTCATCCCACAGTCTGTGGTGTGCGCAAATACCTGAAATAGAGCATATAAAAGTGCTGATTATTTTTATTCTGGAGGCAGATGAGAAAGTGCGATTTTTCATTGGATGAGATTGGGGGATTGCCAGAGCCTTCTGATTACCCTTGCACGTTGGGGGGTTATGAACCCCTGACAGAACTATGTGAATATGCTGGTAAATACAAGATTGTCTTCATACGGTTGACATTTGGCGAACGGAACTACTTTGTACACACTTGCATACGGGAACAGGAAATCATCCAACACAGTTTTGTCTTTCTTACTTGCGAAGAAGTCAATATGAAAAAAGTACGTATTTCCCGGTTGCGTATCGATGCTTATCTACAGTAGGTGTGCTAAGTCATAAAATGTTTACCGAAATTTTGAAATTCGTTTTCGTTCCGAAAAGATTACTTAAAAGGGGTTTTAAAATTAACCTTCGTGCAGCATAGGTATATGATAATTAAGTTACCAAGAGATGCCAGCTTTCGAACGAAGTTCTTTCCGGCCGCATGCAGAAAGCACACACTTTAATAAATGGCCACTTAAGTAGCGTGAAATTTCCTCCTTGATTTTCGATGCACTTAAAAATGCAGTTATATTTTATGATAAAAAAATTCATATGCATAAAAATTTGTTCTTTTATTAGATGGGAAGAAAATTACGTTTCCTTCCAGTTTTGTATTCGAAGGAAGTGTATACTTCAGTTTTAAAAAATTTCTTATTATGGGATTCATTAATACCGTGAAATATCCGTTCATAAAACATCGTGCCTCTGCATTTACCAACGTTGCTTTTAAAGTTTACAATATGGTTCAAATCCACTGCTATATTTTATGAACCCCACATGATCTACCCTTAATACCGTACAATAATGCATGGTTTTCCGTGCGCGGAAAATATACGTTCTGTAGTTTTGAAACCCTGAATGCAAGTGTAACGGCACATTGGGTTCAAAATTATTCGGGAAGTGGAAGTTATTGAAAACCGAATTATACCCTCCCTTCAACTATAAAACTGAAAAAACGTAACTGTCTACCCATCGAATGAAAGAAGAATTTTTCACGCATGTTTTCCATAAAATATAACTGAGTTTTTGGGGGAATCGAAAATCAAGGAGAAATTTCATTCTACTTAAGTAGCCATTTTTGCAGAGTGTAGTTTCTGCATCATTCGAAAGCTGACATCTCATGGTAACTGAATTATTATATAATTATGCTGCATGATGATTAATTTTCAAACTCTGTTTAAGTAATCTTTTCGAAACGAAAACGCATTTCAGAATTTCGGTTAACATTATATGAGTTAGCATACGTACCGTAATGTTCATTATTTTGGTCAGAAGGAATTAACCAGGATCGGAATGCCTGCTTGAAGGAGTTATCGCATTACTTTCTGAGGAGACCGAAAAACTGACATTCAAAAACTGGAATATATGCCAGAAAGTGCAAAGGGAACGCCGGGGGGAGGGCGCACTGACGAGCCAACCTCCTCGCAGTTGCATGACGCAGTCGCAAGGATAAAAAATCAAGGGAACACGTGTCCTGGGTTTTCGGCTAGTACCTGGTGCTGTCAGTCTCCAAATTTTAATACTTTGACCACGGACGAAATCACGAACTTGCGTTTCTAGCTTTCAAGAATGATGCTGTTTCCTACGAACTGAGCGCATTAATTAAACGTTTCAGAAGTCTTTTCGAGAGGAGAAACAGTCAGCAAGATCGCCAGTCGAAAGCCATCATGACACGGTTTACAAGGTTATGCGGGCTTACGTAAACATTTCCGCCTGGAAGCACACACACACACACACACACACACACACACACACAAAGAATAGACCAATTTTTTACGAGTCTCGATGCTAGAATTGCATAATTGCTAGTTAAAATAGGTGCTCGGAGCGAAGGAAGCTGGCTCGTGCAGTTGCTGTTGTTTTTTTCTTAGCAAAATCATAATGCTCACCTTCCTTTAGACGTTGATTCCGAATGCAGGCGAAGAGGACGAAAAAGAAGACAAGTAGAAGGAAGATGAGGAAGACGATGACGAACCAGGTGGCACTGGCACCCTGGAGACCGCCTGGGACGGGCGGACCGGTTGTCCACACGAAAATAGACTTGCTTGCTGCGGAGAGGTCTGCCCCATTTGTGGCCACCATACGTACTTCATACTGGGTGGCTGGCGATCGTGCATTAGAAGTCAGGAGAGAGGGAGAGAGAGAGACGACGATTGGTTTGGTGGGACACCAATCGGTGACAGTTTAAAGACCAAACAAATGAGCGTACGTCCCAAAGGCTAGTAAAAGTATTCATGAAATGTATTTTTACAGTTTGTGGCATAAGAACGTCCGAGCCGGTCTTTATCTGCGTGACTGATTTTCTCGCAAAAGGATTGCAGTAGGTAGCGTATCTCATGAAACGAGAACAAAAATTTCGAGTTGTACTTTAGAGTAGAAATCATTAGTTAGGCCGCAGTCTATTGGTCTGCGCCCGTGAACCTTAGGATATACTGACCTGCTCCAAGTTCGCAGTTAATTTCTGAGGAAATAAAAAGCAACAATCCGTAAACTGGAGTAGAGCCGAACCCCTCGCAGCTGTGCCATGCAGCGGCAGAATATCGGCGAAACACGCGTGTGTTAGCTTTTAGCAAGTACCTGTGCTGCTAGGATGGTATCCTACAAGCCTAAAATATACTACTAACTGCCTGTCGGCAGTTAATGAGTGTCACGCGCTCATCCCGCTGTGGCTAATTGACTTCGGCCAAGCTATTCATACATCAAACTTCGGTCTGCGCCTGTAGACCATAGAATATACTGACCTACTCCAAGTTCGCAGTTAAGTTATGAAATTGAAAAGCAACAAACCTTAAATAACTGGCTATTAAAATGTATATACAGTAGGTGGGCTAACACATGAAATGTCAACCGAAATTCCAAAATTCGTTTTCGGTTCGAAAAGACTAATTAAGTAGGGTTGTAAAACTAACCATTGTACAGCATAATTCTATAATAATTCAGTTACCACAGGATGCCAGCTTTCGAATGAACCTCTTTTCGGCTGCAGGCAAAAAACATACTCCGTAAAAAAATGACTACTTAAGTAGCATGCATTTTTTCTATTGATTTTCGATGCCCTTAAAAATTCGGTTATATTTTATAGAGAGCATGCATAAAAGTAATCATTCTTTTACTTATTCGGTAGAAAATCACGTCTTCTTTCAATTTCATACTCAAAAGAAGAGTATAATTCGGTTTTCAAAAACTTTTCCGATTCCCGAATACTTTGAACCCCGGCCTGCGGTTACACTTACATTCAGGGTTTCAAAACTACAAGCCGTATATTTTCCACGTATGGAAAACCATATATTTCCCTACGGTACTAAGAGGAGACCATATGGGGCTCGTAAAATTTAGCAGTGGACACGAGCCATATTTTTAATTTTACAAGCCACACTAGTAAATGCAAAGACATGACGTTTTATGAACGGCCATTTCACGATATTAAAAAACTCTCAAGTAGAAACTTTTTCAGACCAAAGTTTACCCTTTCTTCGAACATAAAATTGAAAGAAGACGTAATTTTCTACCGAGTGAGCAAAAGAATGATTACTTTTATGCATGTTCTCTATAAAATATAACCGAATTTTTAAGGCCATCAAAAATCAATGGAAAAAATGCATGCTACTTAAGTAGTCATTTTTTACGGAGTATGGTCTTCGCATGCAGCCGAAAAGAGGTTCATTCGAAAGCTGGCATCCTGATATAACTGAATTATTATAGAATTATGCTGTACAATGGTTAGTTTCACAATCCTACTTAATTAGTCTTTTCGAACCGAAAACGAATTTTGGAATTTCGGTTGACATTTCATGTGTTAGCCCACCTACTGTTTTAGGGCTAATTTTGCACATAACTTGAGTTAGGTTCTAGATGGTAAAATGCACCCTAGTGGAAGTCAACGCTAACCCCGAGTCAGACAGTGACTCTTGAGAGTAGAGGGTGAGGAGTGACAAGCATGAGACTCACATGGTGTCAACTGAGTGATGTAGAATGTGCGCTTTATGAATTCTCGGAGAGATTCCTGCCATTGGATCACGCCGGGCTCCCTGTACTGGGCGAAGAACACAGAACCCGGCAGTCCTCGATGGCTGGGCTCATAGGTTACGTTGAAGGTAGTGTCGGCGATGTTCGAGACGAAGAACGTCGGTGGAGCTGGAGCTGGAAGTACGACGGTGAAATGCTCTAGTTAGCACACTCAATTTGTCCAATCTGGAAAGCGGAAATCTATGGTCCTTCCCAATGACTGCGGAGTTCTTCAAGGTTCCATTCTATCCCCTCACCTTTCCTCCCTCCACACCGACGAGCTAAGATCGCCTAACGGCTGTCTTTCGGTTAAGTTTGCTGATGATGTGGTTGTTGGACACCCTCTCAAAAGTCAGACACACCTCCAGTCTCTAAAGGATGGCCTAAACCATGTCCTAGTATGGCCGGAGGAAAATGGTCTCCTAATGAACAACCAAAAATCAGTTCAGCGTATTTTCCGACTGCGGCCCTCTCCTTGTCCTGAATCCTCTGACATCCTTCCTAATGAGGCATTCTCTTTCACGTACCTTGGTGTTATTTCTTCATCAAATCTTTCATTTTCCCTGCATATTGAGTCCCTATTTATTAAAGTTCGTAAACTTCTTTATTACATTTGTCGTTTACGTTCCTACCACACATTTCAACCCTTATTCGGGCTATTCATAGATATCTGCATTCTTCCTCTTATCCTATACTGCTCTCCTGTCATTTTTCCTGCTTTGCTAAAAAATATCTTTAATGCTAAAACAGGTCTTCCGAATGCTTTCTTCTGCCACTGGTGTTTCTTATCTTTTTTTAGTCGACACTATCCTACAACGACATTTCAATACGTTCAAACGATTTGCTGGTCGGATTATAGGTGACGTTGCCCATCCCTTGAATTCTGATCTTCTTTCTGCGAAGTCTTTCCGCCCGATGCGTCGCAGCTTCCGACTTATGTCTTGTCGCACATCGGCTTGTTGAGCTTCTGTATTGCCATTCCTGGCGCGCTATCTTACGTGTGAAGAGATAGAAATACAGAAATTAAGACTTACACCGTCCCCATAATAATCGTCCCTTTTGTTTTAAACGTTTTGAATTTTGAGTAATCTATGAACTTATTTACTGCCCATAGTGAATGGAGCCAATTGTTTGCTGGAAATTTTGAATTTATGATTTCAAAATAAGGCGAAATTCCTCTCTCTTACACACACATACTCGCCTGGAAAGACCGAATAGGTCTATATCATCATAAATCGACAAACAGCGAGCTCGATTGATGTCCGAAGGTTGCAAGCACAACACCCGGTAATCCCCCCGCCCCGGTCCCAGGCCAACAGCGTGCCAAGGGATAAAGACAAATTAGAAGAGCATAAGGGAGTAATTTTAGACGTGGTGTTGATGAAGCAGATGCTAACGACGACGGCCGGGGGGGGGAAGTTCTGGTTGTGGCGGGGAAGAGAGTCAGTCTAATCAGAGGCTCAACGGACTCACCGACTGTAGCATCAAGCGTTGCGATGTCCAGAAAGGCCTCAATGCCCGCGCCAGCCTTGGTGCGCGGTATCACTATTAGACGGTAAGTTGTGTTTGGTCGGAGAGCAGTCATTTCGTAGGTGGTGAGGCTACCGTCCATGACAGTGGGGTAGCGAGTCGCATAGGCCAAGTCAAGTCCAATTACTAAAGAGAGAGAGAGAGAGAGAGAGAGAGGCAGAAGTGACTGCGTGCCCAACGCATCTGCTGAGAAAACTTTTAATGGACAAAAGACCTCATTTTACTTCCGAGCACTGCCAGAGAAAACTTGTTCGGCGAATACACAGCTAACGTCGAACCTCCTAGAGCCTCATCTACAGTCATTACCTACGCTATATAATGGAGAAAAGCATTGCTAAAGTTGAGCTTGCATACTAGTAGGGACAGGACAAGGTGTCATGCCAATTTTCCAGTAAGAAGCCTGCTTCAACTGTCCGGGGATAAAATTATTATAAAATGATTGAAAAGTACTAAATTGTCTACCGTACTGACATCATAAGCACCAGCTAAAAGCCCATATACGTGTCTTTCGTCGATCTTGAGGGGTTTAGTACATCATGACGCGGCACAAGACTGGCAAAATATGCGTGGGCTTTTAGCTAAAACCTGTGTTGTCAGTGTGGTAAGCTACCTAGTATTCGCATATTACTGACTCTCTGCTGGCAGACTGTGAATATTACGCCGTTATCCCGCAATAGCTGGCGGATTTCAGCCCGAATATTCATATAGTTTTTTTGAAGGATTCACTCCAAGCTCGTACATTTATTTCCTCCGAAAGTAAAAAAATTCAAGGTTGAAAAGTTGGTCAGATGTTGCTGTGTAGCCCAACCTGAAGTAAACAAAACCCAACCACCTGTAATGCGGGACCGGTGGTAATAGGGGTATTTACAGGTGGGGCCGGGAAACGCACAGACGACGAGATCAAGTAGTTGTATGCAAAAGCTATTGGGAATGCGCGGTTGTACTTTAAATAGTTGATAAATGGTTGCTCTAACCCTAACCCCTAACTCTAACTCCTAACCATAAACCCTAACCCTATCCCCGAACTTCTAACATTAACCCCCTAGCCCCAACCCCAACACTATTGCGTCCATCAGGTGGGGCTACCTAACCACATCTTACCGAAAAGTGAATAGTCAATATTCCCAATCGCAACTGATAGGACAACGAATCCAGCGGCCCACTGGTACAGTCATCGACTTAAAAACGCCAAATAACCAAAGAACCCGAGTTCGAATCCCATCTGGATTTGTATAAAGCTGGTTGACGAGAACCAATTAGTCGGAGACAGTCACCTTATTCTCCGCTGTCTTCGCCGATATTACCCTTAATGCATAACACCAAGCAGGCGGGAGAACTCCTCGAAAGTGGACACTCCAACACCAACAGCATCGACCTTTACGACGACCTGGACGCTTACCACGAAGGTCTGCGTTCACGGCTCACGGGCTTGCGCCCACGCCAAAACAACAACTGTGAATCCATGCTCAGTCATGCGGGATCTCACTGATTCGGCACTTTTCCGTCACAGTGAACCATAACTGGAATCCTCAACACTGACCCCCTAACATCCGGCATCTATCTTAGTAAGCCTTTCACCCCCTCATATGAACGTCTATCAGTTGATGTAACCTCTGTGGCCCCAAGCCCTCTGCTGCGACAATCCCACTCCCTACTATTCCTTTCGTCTGGAACAGATTGGTGCAATAGGTTCAAAGATGGGCCTTTATTTTTCACATATATTGAAAAACATGTATTGAAAAACGGGGATCCCAAGAAATGTAGCTGGGTAGTAGTGGAATACATAGGGAAGATGTAACTTTTATCATGTGAATTTTCGTGGCCGGCCTCCCAGATCGTCGTCAGACAATCGGTCATGTTAAAAGTAATTAGTTAATTAACCGTGTCTAACGAAGGAATCTACGGTTGGCCGATGTCTGCGCCAACATGTGCTAAATGCATCTCATCATCTCTTTGGGATTGGCTGTTTCGTTTGATTTCGTCCTTGAGCACTTTATGTGTGACATCTCAATCTATATGCCGGTTGATGTATGCCTCACCTGAGGACAAATTCAAGCGAGCACAACCAATTCCAAACAGATTACGAGATACCATTAGACTGTTTTGGTGCAGACTTCGACCAAACACAGAATCCTTTGTCAGACACGGTTAATAGACCAATTGTTTTTAAGCACGACCCACAGTCTGACGATGAGCCGATGAACCAGCCTCGAAAATCTGCGCAGCACAAATTATATATATATATATTATAGCAGCGAGGAGGGACGACAGAGAATGAGGGTAGATTGATACAGTACTGTTTCGGGCTTATCCTGCCTTCATTCAGCCAAGCATAACCCTGACCAACAGCTGGGACCAGAAACACGGACATGTGCACAGACGCACCTGGCGCAGTTGGTCCACCACTGGGGTCTACCAGATAGGTCATAGGCACTTCATCGGACCGAAGCTCATCAGTGCCCTTCACTAGATATATATATATATATGCATGTCAAGTGGGCGTTTGACCACTTCATAAGGCCTATGACGTACTGATGATCGGTAACGACCGTGAAACAGCTGTCTGCGTCTGGCCTGTTGCACTCTTAGCGAGCTGCTCATGTATTATATGTGGTATGTGTCCTCTGACACAGCGTTCGTTGTCGCCAGTAGCAAGCTGGCGGGCGGACAGAATGGGATCGAGTGATATCCTAACCACAACAGTGAGGGTCAAACGCCCACTTGACATGCTTATATACCTCACTTCATAAGGCCTATGACGTACTGATGATCGGTAACGACCGTGAAACAGCTGTCTGCGTCTGGCCTGTTGCACTCTTAGCGAGCTGCTCATGTATTATATATATATATATATATATATATATATATATACCAGGGGAGGACCGACATAGACAAGGAGGACTGCTGCCTTTAGTATTATCTACCCCTCTCAGGGAGCTTGTTTGCTTCAGAAAGTCTATGAAACAATTCGCGCCCAGTCTTGCTTGAATAGATACTCGAGCTGTTGCGGCAGAGGCGGTAGAAAGTAACTACGAAAGCAAAACCAACTCACTCTCCCGCGCTTCGAACTCATAGCCAATTACCACGCCATTCGGTTCTCTGGGAGCTGACCAAGTGACGTTAACTTTGTTGATACCGATCATCACCGTCTGGAGTTCAGCCACCGGTCCGGGGATGCCCTCTAGGGTGGTCAGATTCACCACCGAGCTTCAGGAAGGAGAAAAAACCAAACAGAGTTTTGCGTTAGGGTGGTTCTAAGAAAATAAGTGCTGTGAGCGTGGTCCTCATCAACAATTGCCAAAATCAAATATGACTACACGTAGACAATTGACTAGCCGCAAAATTTCTGAAACTGCGGACCGGGGGGAGGGAGAGTCAAAAGTGCCCCAAAGACTGACCTCATTGGGCCCGCGTTGAGACTGTTGAGGATACGCAGCCAGAGCCTGATCTCTGTGGCGCCGGGCACCCCAGTCAGAGTGTAGTTGATCGCCTGACCCCAGGTGAAATTCTGCAAAATGATCGGTGTTATCGAGCTCCTCGCATCAGGCAAGGTCGTCATGGTGACCAGCTGGCGAGGAGACCGTGCCAGCTGAAACTGAACGGCCTCGCCCACGCAGGAGGGTGATCGGAACGGCGAGACTGGGCAGGCATCAGTGAGCGACTCGCAATCGTCTGATCTGCTATAACGGTGTATGTGGTCCGACGCTCCTGCGACTTCATCGACCTCTTGTTCTTCCAATGAACGTGGTCGGCGAAGATACGATACAGGAGTGGGAAGCATTTGGAGCAACACATCCTAATGAAGAGAAATAGGACATATTTTGGAGAGAGGGAGCTCGCTCAAACAGTGTGTGAGAGAGAGAGAGAGAGAAATCGAACTTTTGACCGAATCGACAACTGAGCGTTTCTGCTTTTTATGTATGTATATGTTGATAATTCACGAGCAAAACTCTATTTTCTCCTATGCATATATGCATGTTAAGTAGGCGTTTGACACTCACTGTTGTGGTTAGAATCTCACTCGATCCTAACGAAAACGAAAGTGTTTGCAAAAATTTGGACATTTAAGTTCATGTAGGTAAGTGAACGTGTTTCGGAGAATACAGAAATTGTAGAACTTTTCAATCACCTGATTCGAAACGGGTGCAGTCTCGTACAGAACAATTATACAAGCTTCTTTATAATAAATATGTATGAAGAAGAAGCTGCTTAATGTGGGTATCCGAAATAAACGGGATCACCATACAGGTGATCCGAAATACCTCCAATTTAAAGCCAGCATGAATCAGAGCCAGTGCAATGAAACTTAAGGTTATGCTGTGCGCTTGGCCTCAGCGAAACCCCAGTGGAGTTATATTATTCTGGAAGTGCCACATAAAACGGTATGACAAACCAGTAGTTCGGGAGTTTTAAGGTTTGCAACAGTCCCCTGCTTCCATCTCTGAATGATAACTGCCTCCATTTCGGTCGAGTTGAACTTGTGTAGAAGCAGGGGTCGTAACTGCGTCCTCCTAACAGTTCGACCGTCGGTTTCGACAATGTCCACCGACTGCTCTACAGCAAGGTGAAACAGGCACGGTGAATTATGCATGAGTTAGTTTATAGTGATGGTAGACTTGCACAGCATCTGTCGCACTCCCTCCTCCTACTTTCTACCTGTACCCGATGTCAACAGAGAGTCAGAAAGACGGTAGGTGGGAGAGGGTACAGGTGGATGGCATGGCCGAGCCCTCACCTAGGCGTACCACCGCACCCCCTGGTTCACCCACTGATCGTCAACGGAAAAAGACAATAACTCACTTAAGCGGAGGGGTTAATGCGTTCTGATAGGACATACTCCATTAGAGCTTTGGACATTGGAAGCAGGAGGTAGAGCTAGTAACCGCTTTTTGTTCCTCCTAGAAAGCCCGGCAATGGGTCGTTTATAGAGACTAATTCAGAAAATATTGCTTTTCAGCGGACATACTGAGGGGGGCCGTATTTGTCGAGCAAGTCCGGTGGTATTTCTACTAAATTATGCAATAGGGTTAGATAGTGAAACAAGATTTACGCGATGCCTCATCAAAGTTGTAGCCAATGTCTCCGGAGCTTAGTGATCTGGTAGGTTTTGACCGTGTATTCCCGATAGACTACGCCACCGTATCATCGGTTAAATGGTGCCTATCAAGGACTTCACGCGAAATCGCGTGGTATTCTTTTTAAATATCGGCTAAAAATGTCCACGCCCTCATGGCAGAATCTCGGAGAGTCTTTTCCAAACTAAAAATAGGAGAACTAGCCTCATCTGACCCCTCTTTGCCCGAAACTGTAACCTAGACATTGCAACGCAACCAGGCGTTCTCTTACTTGAAATCTCTTCTCTTTTTCACACTCAGTAGTTGTGAGCTTCGATGGGCACCACTCGACCCGGTATCCGCGGAAGAAGCCGTTCACGTGAGCCTCCTGCTGTTGTGTGATCACTGTCCACTGAAGAACAGCGCCAGTCGATGTGGCCTGCAGCACTGTCGGGGCGGGCGGCGCGATATTTGGCATGTTTTCGCCAGAGTAGCCCTGCGCGACGGTCGGAATGGCTGTACTCGTGCCCTTGTCATTCCGGCTTTGGATAGTTGCCTGAGGTGAGCGTAAATTAAAACATATCAGGCTACTATAAAGTATGAGTAGCATGTATTTTAGAATCGAATTTACCTCGAACAGTTTGTAGGACTCGATCGGTTGGGTTATTTTGTTTGCGGAAGTGCCACTCTGGAAGACGGTGTACGTGATGCGGTCAGTGCGCCAGTTTCCAATGACTGTTGTATTCACGTCGGTGGGACGAATGTTGTTGCAGTTAAGACAGCGAACAGTCAGTAGATACACCAAGTTGTTGCCATAGTGCTCCACAAAGGGCATCGTCTTTTCGGGGGGAAAATCAAGAAAAGAGTGTCTGAGAAATTTGGCCTGAAAACCTTAGGTGGCGAGGCATTTTTTGACCTATAGAAACAAACAGACGAGTTCCAGGGAGCAGGTTAGAATAAGGAGACGTGATCACTGGAACAAGGAGTTTATTGGCCTGGCATTTCGGATTCTCACTCGAACCCCCCATCAGAGACACGTGTGAAGGTAACTAGCTGCCTATGAGTAAGGAGGGAAATGTTTATGTGGGTGACCGTCGGGATCAGTTTTATTAGTTGCGAGAAGTCGCAATACGGCCAATGGGGTAGGAAAAGTATTACTATTCTAACTGAGGCTGAATGCGGTTCTTGATGGTAAATAGGAAGTAAACTGCAAACTTGCCCGTTAACGTACAGCAACCTTTAAAAATATCATTCGTCCAGTTATTTCAATATTCGAATATTAGAAAGGGAATCCTTGAGCCAACAAAAGGAGCAGAGAAGCTTAGAAATGATTGTTACGGTGTACTTTTAGCAAGGAGGCTATTTTCACCGTCATAGCATGACATTCAGAATTATCATCTGTTTCTCAGCATAATGAAAAGTTAAACAAACGCTCTTCCTAGACGTACGGTCGAGATTAGTATCTGTCCTCTGCCAAATACGTCGGAAGAGCAGTCAAGTTGCTTTTACATGCGAGAATTGAATTTCCCGTTTCTTTATGCGATACAGAACAACCGATTCATAGAAAACTGCGCTTAGTGGGACATGAGAATAGGAACTCCCCGTAATGTAGATGGGTTTACGCTGAACTCCGCAAAGTTTAGCTATTCTCGCATCCTACCCTGCGCTTTGCCGACAGAGACCAGTAGAAATTGTGGATGACGAAATGGGATAAGAGAACTCAGTCACTTGGATGGATCACTTTGAACTCTTGCAGTTAATTTCCAGTCTTACGAATGGGCATGCTTTGTTACCGGATACTTGTTTCATCGAGTGTTCATTGGAGTTCTTTTTGTGGCAAAGTCAGACCTACTTTGAGTGGTTTATTCCGCCAAACTCGGTTTTTTGCTGAATTGAGAAGAACAACTGCGCCTCAGAACAAAACATCTTTGTCCTCTGGGGGTGTGGCTGGTTGACAGAGGCCCCGACAATTGGGTGGCATCCCGGTTGCTTCTGCTTTCGGCGGTCTGCCGTCGAACTTACATCAGTTAGATCACCAATTCAGTGTTTATGAAACGACATTTAATTACGTCGTTGCCCAGTGAACTTACCGACCACTGGATGATGAGATTGTTCGCTTGCGTGCCGTAGACAAACAGTTCTCGAGGATTGGTGGCCGGTGCCGTGGCTGGAATCATACACGTCTCAGTGGTCGCTGTGCTCGGCTCGGATAGGCCCACTCTGTTCCGAGTTCGCACTCTGAATCGATAATCGATATTGGGTCGGAGAATAACCTGGGATCGATAATAGGTGGACACGAAGGGAGGAAAGGGCGGGAACATGAGTGAGAGATTTTAAAAAAACGCAAGTAGTCCCTTACGGGTCTGCGGATTAAAGGGACTTTAATTACAAAGTTGAAGCACAAATTAGGCTTCAGATTTGCTGAATTTGCATCTGCTTTTGAAAGTAAAAGGGAATTGTCGAGATTTTTTCAAACTGTAAATAATCACACGGTATCACAAGGGGAACAAATTAGTAATGCTAATAAAATGGTCTCCGTTTATGACTGAAGGGAACGTCACTGCAGGTATTACCTGCATCCACTGTCTACCATTTAGGCTAAGGGACGGATCGGTGTTTTCAGACATTCCCGAAGACACCCAGAGGGTCACTTCTGCAATTGGTTCTTCACAACTCCGCGGTGGTTCGACGATCAATAGGGACAACTGCATGAACCGCTTTTCTTATTGACCCCGTCATCGAAGTATCACACATCCGGCCAGTACGCTCTGCGGAATGGACGAAACCAGGAGAGTGCTGTTTTATGCAGACGTTGTCAAGAGCCGAACTTAGGCAGGAAAATAGCACACAATACCAGATTCGGACGCAGAAATCAAGGACTGGGGGTTAACATTTTACTAACTATCACTTCCCGGACGTGTTTTTATGTTGCAGTGATCCTCGCAGCCTGGCGTGCGCTGCCAGTTCTCTGACGCCTAATTTCCTGCCGGTGAATGCGTTTTGCGCTCCCACTGGGTATACCGGTCGTGTACATGGTTGCCCAGCGACTTGTGTCATCCCTCCTCTCTCTGACCTGGCTTTGAAGGCGGCCAAATGACGGATAACTTGGACCTTGCGGTCGGTCCGGTATATGTGTTTATGTGGAGTGGCCGACTGGTGGTCTAGGAGTCAGACTGCAATGACTCCTTCATAATGCGGCCTCTATGGCACTTCCACTCCGTGGAATCCGAGCCGCGTCAGGTTGGTGTATAAAATCCTAGTCAGCGTGTGTGTTGTGGACCAGGGGGGCGTGGTGGTGCGCCCAGGTGCGGGTTCGTCCGCCGTGCGCCCTCTCCCACCTCCGGTTTCCTTAACTATCCGTCTGGACACGGGGCCCAGGTGGGGGGGGGGGGAAGAGCGCGGTAGATGCTGTGCAAGTCTACTACTATGGGCTAATTCACACACACCGTGACTGCTTTCACCATGTTGTGGAGCACATTGTGGACATCGTCGGTCACGACGATCGAACTGTCATCTGTCTCAAGGATGAAAACACAGAAGGGGGAGGGGGCGTTACTACAAACCTTGGCGTCAGCGGCATGAAGGAGACCGGTGGTGTTAAAGAGTTCTGCCCGGTACCAGGTTTGCCGCTCAAACTGCGTGGAGAACTCCACAATGTACTCGATGATGGGAGCGTAGTTGTCTGAGCCGGGGGCCCAATTAACCAGGGCTTGTCGCTTGTCCGCGAAGTTGATGCAGTCAATGGTTATTCCGCGTGGCTGATTTGGACGCCCTGGCAAAAAATAAGGAAGAAGGGTCAAACAGTCGAAAGCAGTAATCTTCCAGTGAACAGCCAATCACATTTTCGGGGAGTTTGGATTGCGGGACTGAGAGCGGGCAACAGATAACTTCGTGAGACGTTTGCGGCTTTGATGTCTGTCAACTTCAGTCGTTGAAATTGATGAGAACGACCACTGTCTGGGCAGACAGTGGGGGAGACTTCCGCGGTTCCGACCTCATGCCCTCCACAGTCCACACCCACCACGTTATGATGACATCACACGATCAAGGTGACTGGAACGAGGGCGCGGATGAGGCGGCCAACTTGGCCTGCGGATCACGTCTACGCGCACCGCTCATGCCCTGACACCCGTTCCCCAACTCCACGCGAATCAGATGTCGGTGTGTAACTTGAATTTCACAGCGCTGGGAGTTAGGATTGTGAGGTAGCCCTCAGTCGCGAGGGTCGGGTTAACAACCATTTAAACCACGGCTTTCAGCGCAGGTTTATAGCTCACATACAGTAGGTGGGCTAAATCATGAAATGTCAACCGAAATTCCGAAATGCGCTTTCGTTTCGAAAAGATTAATTAGGTAGAGTTGCAAAACTAGTCAGCCTGAAATATAATTCTACAATATTTCAGTTACCTCAGGATGCCGGCTTTCGAATGAATTTCCTTCCGACTGCATGCAAAAACTACACTCTGTAAAAAGTGGCTACTTAAGTAGCAGGAATTTTTCTCATTAGTTTTGATGTCCCTAAAAGTCCAATTATATTTCATGGAAAACATGCATAAAAATATTTATTCTTTCACTCATTCGGTGGAAAATTACGCCTCCTTCTAATTTTATGCTTGAAGGATGGACATAATTTGGTTTTAAAAATGTTTATAATTGTGGGACTTTTAAATACCGTGAAATGGCCGTTCATAAATCGTCATCTCGCTGTATTTACCAATGTGGCTTGTAAAGTTAACAATATGGATCAAATCCACTGTTAAATTTTATAAACCCTATATAGTTCCCCTTTATTACCGTAGAGGAAGGTGTGATTTTCCGTACGCGGAAAATATACGGCTTGTAGTTTGGAAACCCTGAATCCAAGTGTGACGGTAGAGCGGCTTCAACATTATTCGGGAATTAAAAAAGTTTTTGAAAACCGAGTTATACCTTTCCCTCGAGTATCAGATTGGAAGAAGACATAATTATCTACCGAATGAGCGGAAGAGTGAATATTTGTATGCATGGTTTCTTTAAACTATAATTTGACTTTTAGGGGCATCAAAAACCAATGAGAAAATTCATGCTACTTAAGTGGTCATTTGTTACAGAGTGTAGTTTTTACATGCAGCCGAAAGGAAGTTCTTTCGAAAGCCGGCATCTTGAGGCAACTGGATCATTATAGAATTATGCGGAAAAATGATTACTTTTACAACCCCACTTAATTAATTTTTTCGAAAAGAGAACGCATTTCGGAATTTCGGTGGACGTTTCATGAGTTAGCCCACCTACTGTACGTGTTACAGTAATTAATGGTGAGGAGGGGTTGCACGGAGTCAGCGGGGGAAGACCCACACCGACAGTTTGCACGCGACGACGTCAACTGCGTACCGCCACAATGTGAGCACGGCGCCGGCGACTTGAACACCAATTTGTCGACAGTGGGACAGACTTTCGAAGCATCTGTCACACCCTCTCCTCCCCTAATCCGTCTGGCTGTGATGGGAAGACAATGTCAAGACGTGAGCGCAGTGGCACATGCACATGCCACGCACGACCTGGCTTCTGTAGGCGTCAGACTGACATAAAGGCCATATTAAATAAGAGCCTTTGCAACCTACCCTCAGCCCTGAGAAGAAGTGTTGTAGCTCATCAGTTGTCCGACCGTCGACTGGACCGGTGTCGTCCAAGGAAACCAATCTGGGGGACGTATTACCGATAATGAAGTGCAGACGTCTACCCAGCGAAAGCAAGCATTAACCGTGTGCACGGGCATTTCAGCCGGGATGGCTATATTTCAGTCTTGCCCGATGTTTCTTTACTTTGACCCTTTCACTCATCCTCCGCTTTTAAGCCCTCTGATGCATTAATTCGTTCTCCCTCCCCCCCCCTTAATGCTCCACTACCATTTTCCTGTCTGTTTCAGTACGGACGACTATACTCCATGAGGTTTATTGGTAGATTTTGGGGGTTTATTCGAAGCCCTTTTCCGGCAACCATACCCTCTATCAACTTTTGCGAGTGCACAAAACATTTGACCGGTTGCCAGTGACGACATTCACCGTGTATCTCACAGTGTGGATGCAACATCCTTGAGTTGCACGTGAATTAGTTTGCAGCAGGGCAGACTTACACCGCATCTACCGCACTCTCTCCTCCCTCACCCACCACACTCCGGTGCCAAGGCAATGCCAAAATGCCCGTGGCTGGGCTCGGTCGCTGTGGCCAACAAATCTGAACGACCTGTTCCCGCGGGCCGCACGCAACCTGCTCCGCATAACATGTATCAGGGTGACTCGGATGTGTCAGGGTCCCATAGAGGCCACATTAGGAAGGGACCATCGCCATCTGACTCTCAGTCCCGAAAAAGGCTGAGTTATTTCGTCATTTGACAGCCTTCCACACCACGACCCCTATCGCGCTGCGATAGATTTAAACGCACCAGATTTATTATGGTGGGGCCGCAATGATGTGCCCTGTCACCATCTCTCTGTTCCCCCTCCCACGCATCAGCAGACTCTGAGATGATGGGTTCGAGCAGGAATCCGAAACGTCAGGCTAATAAAGCTCTTGTCCTCCTTCTTCAAGACTGCTTCCTGGGACACGTCTCTTCACTTCTACTGGCATCAGCAGACTGTCTCGGGCTGTCAAGAAACAGGTGATGGGATTGGTCGCGGTGGCTGACAAAGCACGAGACTTGCCAAACACACACGGCTGCAGGACAGTAGACATGGACTTGCGTGGACTCAGCGCAGACCGATAGACGCGTTCGGTGAGCCAATCTGACCCCGTTTCGTTCGTATCCGGTACATAAACATGCATTCATTTCCAAAGCCAGTCGGATTTATCATAGTGGAGAATGCGATGATGAACTGTGAGGATAGATTGTCTGATGTCAACATCTCTCTCTCTCTTCCGTCTCCCATGCATCAGTCGACTATTCGAGGCTGTCAAACAGCCGGGGATGGGATTGGTTGCAGTTGATGACGGGGCGCGAAGGCTTGCCACACGCACACGCATGCACGGCAGTAGTTATGGACTCCCACGGGCTCAGCGCAGCCCGATAAACTCGTCCAGTGAGCCAACCTGACCCCGTTCTGGTCTATCGCACCTGCGTCTCATCCCGTTGCAGAGGCCAGGAGAACTCGCGTCGAGCACATAAACATACATGCCAACTCAAAAGTCCAGTCTTTTGCAAAGCTGAAGGGGCTACCCTCTTAAACTCTCTCCTTAGTTACTTCCAGCGCGTTCGACAAAAGTGCAAATTAGTAAATGGGCATCTGGACTTTATTCGTCCCCGTGGGGGATCTAGCGAACCAATAGGACCATCAGTAAAGCCAAATCCCGCACTGTCAGCAAGAACTGAGTAAAGCGCACCTCAGCCGGATTCTCGTCTACAACTTACTTCCCCCGCTCAATACCTCATTAAGTTCCTGGTAAGTTTCAGGCCAATCAGGGCGCATACAGCAGGTGGAAAATCTCATGAAATGCCATCCGAACGTCTGAAATGTCTTTCCGATGAGAAGAAATTATGTACGTAGGTGGGGTTGTGATATTGATCGTAACGCAGCATAATCCAAGGAAAATTATGTCATGTCAGGGTGCGGGCTGTAGAATAAATTTCGCCCCGACCGCCTGCAAAAACCACATGTAGTAAAGGCTTATGAACTAATTAGTATCAATTTTCCAGCGTTTATTTTCGATGCCTTTGTAAATTCAAATGGACTTCATAAAAAACACACAAATATCATTTCTTGCACTCAATTAACCGAAAGTTACGTCTTTTTAAAATATCGTACTTGAAGAAAGGGTATACTATGGTATTAAAAGTTTTCCGGTAATGAGTTTTTTTAAGACAGTGAAATATCCAATCGCAGTGGATCGTGTCGGTCCGTTTATTAATGCTGCTTATAAAATATACAATATGATCCACATTCCTTGCAAAGTTTTAAGAGCCCTGCGCAAACGTGACTATCGGGGTCAAAATTATCCGAAAATTGAAAAAGCTTTTTTTGACCGAAAGATGTCCTTTCTTGGAGTATGAAATTTGAAGAAGACGTAATTTTCTACCAAACGAGTGGATGAGAGAATGTTACAGTGTATGTTTTCTATAAAATCGATTTTAATTTATAAGGACGCTGAAAATCAGTAGGAAAATGTATACTCCCTAAGCAGTCATTGTTTATAGGGTGTAATTTTTGCAGGCTACCGGAGAGAAGCTCGTTCAAAAGTCGAAATCCTGGCATGACCGAATTTTCTTCAAACAATGCTGTACGATGATCAATATTATAACTTTGCCAAAGTTCTCCTTCCTAGTCGAAAACACACTTCGGAAAATTTCGGCCAACACTTCATGAGATAGGCCAACTACTGTACTCGCAAATGAACAGGCTAGACTGGACTTGTCGTTAAATGATGCCACTCAACTTACGCGAAAATTAGGCCCTGTCTTCTTGGTAGAGGGGCGCTCACGGATCGTTTCTACGGAACTCACTCGTTCCGTTGTGCCTTACGGGCTCTCTCCCTTGTCTTTGTCGGTAATAACATTCTGCCTATATCATGCACCGCTGTGCGGCTGCTGGTTGGGCTCGAGAGAGGGAGAATCCGTAAGGCGCAACGGAACTAGTGAGTTCCCTAAAACGATCGGTGAGCGCCCCTCTACCATTGTATATTCCCGATCGCAACCGGCAGGACAACGAGCCCGTGGTTCAGTGATTAGAGGCGTTGGACTTCTAACTAACAGGTCGCGAGTTCGAGCCCCAGGTGTTCCATACCTCGGGCTTGGGTATGACTGACTGATGACGGCTGATAAGCCGGAAATGGCCATTCCAGTCTCCCTTGTCTTTGTCGGTAATAACATTCTGCCTGTCCTCTTTCCCAGAACGGGTTACGGTGTGGCAACAGGTCCGGAAAGAAAGCAACATTCTGTGATCGATCGAACATTGCTTTGTAGCGCGCGAAGGACGGAAGCCTGGCGGTTGGAGAGTGAAGTGGGAGCAGTCCTGAGCAGTTTCCGCCGACATTCACAGTTAGGAAGGCGTCGAACACCTGGCAGTATGGGATAACTCTATCCCCCGCTGAGCTGATAGCCAATTCGGAGTGACTCATGCTTCATTTAACCTCATGACGACCCTCAAAAATATGCAACTTGAGTGGAGGAAACCCGGTTGGAGGGGCGCGAAAGGGGATCGATTCGGGCTTCAACGAGTGTGCGGCAAACCAAGGGCGGAGGGTGGATGAATGCCTTACCAGCCACTGTCCACAATCTTATTTTCAGTCTTGCTTGCCTGGACCTGCCATCGTAAGAGGATGGGTGTGGGAAGAGCGAGTGAGGTCGGCGCTATGAGAGTCTTTCACTATAACCAAGTTTGTGCGCAAGTTTTCACTGCTTCTCCCGCGAAAAGTTTACTGGTTATGAGAGGGCTGGCTGCGGCCGCAAACGTCTGATGTGCTAACAGTCCAAGCAAGATGTTTTAATGCAATAAAAAGTTGACTGACCTTGAACCAACAGGGATGCGGTGGCAAATGCAAAGTCAAGGCCGTTGCTAGCATTGCAGCGATACTGGCCAGTGTCAAGAGCCTGGGCGCCGGCGATAAGGAGGGAGTAATCAAAACCGATTTGTTCAATTCGTGGTGTGGCCGAGGTATCAATCAGGTTCCCGTCCTTGTACCACCTTACGACCAAGTTATCCACCTCCATGGGGTCGGTCTCAGCTGTGCAGACGAATTTCACCAGCTGACCCTCGTAAACCCAAGTCTCGATGGGCGCTAGGGTGACCCGTGTTCGGCGCCGAACAGTCAGGTGACCTGAGGCCTTCGTCACTCCAAACGGATTCGTCGCTGTGCATTCGTAATCTCCCGAGTCTGTGGACGCAACCGCCTCGGTGAGAGAATGGGAAAGTGGTCACTTTTAAAAAGTGCTCGTTTAGAAACCCTTGTGGGCGCTCAAATCATCTAATAAAACGTCACGATTAAAAGCTAACTGAAGGAAGGACGGGATTTAGAGTGGGGGGGAAGGAGGAAGAAGAAGAGTAGGTGTCGGAGGAAATAGGCAGGCGAAGAAAAATAAAGGGTGGAACAGGAAGGGGGAGAGGAAGTGGATGATGATGATGATGAGGAGGAGGAGGATGATGATGATGATGATGATGGTGGTGGTGGTGGTGATGATGATGATGATGATGATGATGATGATGATGATGATGATGATGATGATGATGATGATGATGATGACGACGACGACGACGACGACGACGACGACGACGACGGTGGTGGTGGTGGTGGTGGTGGTGGTGGTGGTGGTGGTGGTGGTGGTTGTGGCGGCGATGATGATGATGATGAGGAGGAGGAGGAGGAGGAGGAGGAGGTGAGGAAGGAAATAGTAGGACGAGAAATAGTAGGGGGTGAGACAGGAGGGAGAAAAGGGGACGAGGATGGAGAGAAGGAAAGTAGATGGGTAGAAGAAAAGCGAGGCAAAAATAATAAAAATTGATGAAATAAAGGAAAGAAGAAGAAGAAGAAGAAGAAGAGAGAAGGGGAGAGGAGGCGATGATGGAAGAGAGGAGGATGGAGAAGATGATGAGACGACTGGGAACAACTGGGGCGAAGAGGAGAGTATAAAGAGGTCCCTGCAAACCGACAAACAAATGCTGCAGTACGAGCAACCTCAACATCACAAAAACACCCGTTGATCCAGCTTGCAACAGGCAACCCGGCAAACGTAGACCGGCCATGCTGGCGGATGACATGAACAAGAGCAATCTGGCTGAATGAAGGTTTTGTTACACCAGTGAGATGAAACCGAATAGTTGCTGGGGCGGGAGGGGAGGTGTGAGGAAATTACTGACATCTATTAGATTGTAGTGCTTTCTATTTTGTGCCATTTAGTACCAACTGCAAACATATCAATGACAGTTAACCAGTACAACAGGGGAAACTGGGGTAGGACTACCTCAATTGCCAAATCACCGTTCGGTTGGATCTGGTAGCGACCGCCATTTATCGGTCGACCATCCTTCTTCCAGGAGACGAGAGCTTTGGGGGCTGAATAACTCCGACAGGTTATCAGGGCTGAAGCACCATCCACAAGGTGGAGCTGGCTTTGAGGCGGTTCGTAGATAAAGGGGGGTTCGCGCAGTACATTCACGTAGGCGTTCACGAACACGTAGCCGAAGGAGTTGGAGGCGTTGCATTGAATCACCGCGATGTCATCCACGGTCAGATTGTTCAAAATCATTGACTATTTGCGATTGAAGGAGGAAATAGACAGGGCCATGTTGCATGAAACAGCAAATTTTTCGTTTTTCACAGTTGGGTCAATATAAACTATCATATTCGAAGGGAGGCCAGTCTGACGGTGGACAACAGTCACCACCAACAGCAATATGTTTATCCACATTGTGAAGGATGTCTTCAGTTATAACGGCATCCACCCGTCTGAATGAACACCATAATTTTACGCGATGCTATTCCAGTCCATCATTCTGAAGAAGTATAAATCTGTTGACGCTTGCAGACTACAGTTGGCCACTTCGTATGCGGTTTCCAAAATATTTCTGTTCTGCTGGCTAGATCGCAGTTGGTAGCCAGGCCTCGTATTACAGGTGACTGGGGGTTTGTTTATTGGGGCTATTTTGTGGGGTTCCATAATCCCATCTGACCCATTTGGCCTCCGTTTTACGTTTGAGGTTAGGATTAGGGTACCGGTTAATGGTTCCCAATTTTCGGGTTAGGGTTATGCCTTTAGGCTTGGGTTTTCGGGTTACGGTTAGGGTTTGAGCGTACGATTAGGTTTCAGTATTACGGTTAGGTTTTCAAGTTACGGTTATGTCTAAGGGCTACGGTTACGTTTACGATTTCGGTCAGGGTTAGGGTTGCCGTTAGGGTTACCGGTTAACGTTTAAGGTTGAGGTTAGGGTTAGGGTTAAGGTTAGGATTAGGGTTAGGGTCGCCTTCTGCTCCCCCATTCCTGACTACCAACTGCGATCTAGCCAAAAGAATTTTTCAATTCAAGAAAAGCTTGATTCTGTGGCACTTTATAGTCACATTGTACAATTCACTACGGGCAGCTTGGCTGTCCTAAGCTTGATAGACTTTATGCTGTGTTGAATGAATACGGACAGCCAAGAAAGTACTAATCCTTTGTACCTGTTATTGTTCCACGCACCCTTATGGTTGGCCTTATTTAGGTGCTTTTAGTATAGTCTTCTTCTGGAGTTCTAGTTTTCGGTGAAAACTAACTATGATAGAAGAGCGCTCACCGCTCATATTGCGGAACTCACTCGTCTCGTTATGTCTTGGGGCTCTCTCACTCTCGAACCGGCAGCCGCACAGCGACGCATGACATAAGCAGGATTACATTGCCGATAAAGACAAGGGGGACTGGGATGGCCACTTCTTGCTTACTAGCCATCGTCAGCCAGGCATACCCCACCCCGAAGTGCGGAACACCTGGGGCTCGATCCCGTGATCTATGGGTTGGAATTCTAATTCCCCTGACCACTGAGCCACGGGCTCGTCGTCTTGTCGGTTTCGATCGGACTGGGATCAGGCCCCAAATGTTCCACACCTCGGGGTTGAATGTGACTAGCTGACGACGGCTAACAAGCCAGAAATGGCCATTCCAGTCTCCCTTGTCTCTGCCAGTAATATTATTCTGCCTAAAAATAACTATTTATATGCTAGGAACTGTTAATTTTAAACTAAAATATGGCTTCGTTTTAAGAATGTCCGTTTCTTTAATGCTATAAGGCTTTGGAGGACGTAGCGTAAACGGGGTCTGCATTGCAGAGACCTACTTATGAAACCCAAGGAAGTCCTAGAATTATCCCATCTGCTGTAGTTGACTTTGAAGAAGATTGTTTAGCCTACAGCGATCGGTTAACTTTACAAGCCATACTCAACATGCAGTTATTCATATTCGTCTGCACCTGCTCAAAATGAGTTATCGCTTCCCCCCAAAGGAACCAGCTCTTGGGATGACACTTTGCTGCCTGGCCATCAAGCATCCATTGTATTTGAGTTTTAGAGAAGTCGATTTTCAAGATCCTAGTAACTTTTCTCGCACCACTCCCAGTACTGTGAAGTTGCTTACTATATTGAGAGATAAAACTGTTTATGATCCGTGAATATTCTGAAACTCAGCCGACATTTCTACTTGTACTCATCGTGTGTAAGCGGCAAGACTTTTTCGCATTCACGATGCTCTGGGGCTATAACCCCTTAAGTGGGGCTGTTATACTGGTTATCATGCGGCATAACCCTATAACAATTCGGACTCGCCAGGATGTCGGCTTTTGAATGCATTTTTTTGAACTCCGGAAGAAACCACACTCGGTAAAAAGTGGCTACTTATGTAGCATGCATTTTTCGTATCGATTTCCAATGGTCTTATAAATTCAAATGTATTTTATAGAAAGCATGCACAAAATATGCTTTCTTCCGTTCGTTTGGTAGAAAATCACCTTGCCTTCATATTTTATACCCGAAGAGAGTGTATATTTCGGTTTTTAAAAAGTTTCTAATTATGAGAGTTTTAAGACCGTGCGATGTCCATGCATGCCAGACCGCACATGTCCGTTTACTAATGCTCCTCATGAAATGTACAACACAGTCTGGATCCATTGCAAAATTTCATGACCTCTGTGTGGTATCTTCTTAAAGACATAGAGGAATGTATGATTTTCCTTACGCGGAAAGCATGCACCTTGTAGACTGAAATTGCTAAACGCTGAGGCAATGGCAGATCAGGCTGAAAACTATTCAGCAATCGGAAAACTTTTTTAAAACCTAAATACGCACTTTCTTCGGGCATAAAATATGAAGGCAATGTAATTTCCTACCAAATGAGCGAAAGAAAGCCCATTTTTGTGCATGTTTTCCGTAAAATAGATTTGTATTTACAAGACCATCGAAAATCAATAGGAAAAACGCATTCTACTTAAGTACTTATTTTATACCGAGTATGGTTTCCGTAGGTCAAAAAGAAGTGCATTCAAAAGCTGACATCCTGGCGGGTCCGAAATGTTATAGAGTCATGCTGCATGATAATCAGTATAACAACCCCGCTTAAGTAATCCTTTCTAATCGAAAACGCATTCCAGAATTTTGGCCAAAATTTCATGGGATCGATCACGCTTTGAACTTGAAAGATCTATTAACATTTGGCATAGTTAGGGGAAATGGGAAACAGCCCCTCTGGCATCGTTAATACACCTGATCGCAAATTTCATGGGATCGATCACGTTTTGAACTTGAAAGATCTATTAACATTTGGCATAGTTAGGGGAAATGGGAAGCAGCCCCTCTGGCATCGTTAATACATCTGATCGCAACCGTCTGGACCATGAGTTCGTGACTCATTGGTTAGGGCATTGGATTTCTAGCCAATAGGTCGTAGGATCGTGTCTCAGGGGTTGCAGAACCTGGGGTTGGGTATGACTGACTGATGACGACGACCAAAAAACCAGAAATGGTCTTCCAGATCCCCCTGTCTTTCTCGGTTATGTTATCCCGCATATAAGGCATCTATTATGAGTTGTGGCTCATTTGCAAATCTGATGACGAACGAGCAACAGTTCGCCCATCTCCAATGTCCCTGCATAGTTTCTCCGAGACAGGCTTTTCCTTTGGTAAAAAAACTGGGCGGGTCATCAAGCGAAGGCCTTAAAGAGAGCAGTGAACAATGGCTGGTCTTTATTTGATCAGTGCGCACGTTCTCGCCAGACGTTGCCTATGTGTCCATTTCAAGTGGCACGCTCGTCAGAATGCTTTGAAAGGAAAGGCATTTAGGTAAACGTACATTTCCACTGATGAGTTTCCTCACGCCATCCAAGTAGAAAGATGGGTCGCGTCCGTTTACGGTCCACCAGATCTTTGGTCGAGGATCGGCCGTCGCCTCGCACGTAAAGACCACGCTTCCGTTTTCTGGTACCGAAGTGTCCACAGGAAATTTTGTGAAAGTGGGTGCAGCTAAAACAAATAAAGTTACGTGGGTCAACATTCCCTGGTGCGTTCCCGGTGAAGTCTAACGAGAGGCAGGAGAGGGTGGACATTTTCAAAAATCAGGACAACGATAATTCACAAAAGTTCTTGTTATAGTTGTCTTTTACACTCGACGGGAGCAGCTTCGAAACTACCTGCGAAATACAAAATGTCTGGCACCCAGACGTCAGCCTAATTAATAACTGGTTAGACCTCCGATACGTATTCTAGGCCGTATACAATTACATATGGTGAACACAGAGCAATCACTGAATGACTGGATTCGATTTGAAGGGACGGCGGACTCAGAGAGTTCCCATCCTCTGGCGAAAAATTGTTTCGGGCGCGTAGGGGGTCCCATAACCAAATTTAATTTTCCAGAAATCAGAACTCCTTCACCCTTTTCTTCTTCCGCTTCTGGAATGACGTGTTTCCAAACGGGACGCGGATAGGAGATTTGGAATCTTACCGGAACGCGTACACTAAATTATCTACCATGACTTCGTTTTGGAATTTTTAACAGAATGCTGGCGAAGGCGTATGGAAGTAATGCGTGAATGACTTACATTTAACGGTCACCTGGTATTCGTAATTCTTCGTAGTCATGAGGGCTTCGTTGACACCCTGGCAACGGTACTGCCCGGCGGTGGTATTGGACACCGGGTTTATTTCAAGCACAGTTCCCATGTTGAGAATATTAACATTTGGATGCTGGAAGTGTGAAGAAGGGTGAGATCATAGGTTCGACTGATTAGTCTGAGTGTGTGAGACGCCATTGCAAAGAAAACGATGCTGTTAACAAGACTAATATAAGGTTATTTTCGACGGGTTTCGATCTAACACAGAGTGGCAAAAAAACCCAGGGGATGGAATTCGCCTGTCCAATCATCGTGTGAAGAGTGGAGTGTGACTTTGATTGGCTAGGAGCTTACAAGTGTTGCATCCTTGCCGTCCTTGAACCAAGTATAGCTGGGCAGTGGGTTGCCAGCCAGAATGCACTGTAAACGGAGAACGGAGCCAGCGACTGCCAGGGTGGTAAACGGCGTTTGGAACACAAAGGAGACCGGCCTGTTAACCTGAAACGCCAAGATAAGGGCTATTGCTGACTTATAGCAATAATAATTTTTTATTAAAGACCCGTCGGGGTCCCATCAAAGCTCAGAAAAGTGGACTTAACGCGGGGTCAAGTTTATTTGGGGGGAAAAATAAGCAGCACAACAATCTTCGCCGTTAGACTTGGTGGACTAAGCAAAATAAACGGCCACTTTAACCCAGGAGAAAAAGAAAGTCTGATCAGGCGGAGGACTTACCTCGGGTGGAAAGGCTCGGATGAGATAGGCCGGACCAGTAGTCTGCTCGCGCATAACTTCATTATTAGCTACGCACTGAAAAACCACACCATCATCAGATGGAATGACCGCCGCTATGTGAAGGTAGCCTTTTCGATAGAAATGAACAGGAAAATAAATTAAAAATAACAGCCTCCACCCGAATCCTTTCGGATCAAACTAATTAAAAGACAGATAGAAGTGCATGGGGCTCAGATGTCCCAAGCACGATAAGAAGGACTATTATAACCACAACGTTTAAAAGATAATCTCAGTTAATGTAATTAAACGCTAAATCAGGTTTTTAAAGTTCCTTTGATGTCATGGATGAAATGCAGGAATGATACGAATGTAAATCCGCAAGTAAACAACTCTATGTCGGTGGCAGTATGCGTAGTAGGTGCCAAAATGCACAGATATTGACCGAAGTTTTAGAATGACTTTGATTGACATGGAGTGTTCAACCGAGCTGGCAGATTTCACGGGCATCAGAATGCTAGCTTCAGTCAAGCACACACGCCAAAACACTACTTAAGTACTATGAGTTTTGTTGGGCGTAGAAATTCAACTGCATTCCATAGGAGGGGTAACCAAACAGTTACGTTGGGCTCCTTTTCCAGAAAATCCCCCATTAATAGGTGTCTTGGCAGATTTTGAATAATTCATTTCGACTCATCCATGAAAAACTCGGCGACTTCGGTGGGGTTTGAACCCACGACAGCATGTGGAAGACTTGAGTACAGTCAACGCTCCAGCCACCTGAGCTACGAGACTCCACTCGGAGCCGACAGTTTGATCCCATTTGGGTCAAGTTACCCGCTCAGCCTACTATAGCGTAAGGAGTCCACTAGATTTAATAGAACAGGCTGACTCTCCAAGCAGGATTTCCGCGTAGTCCATTTAGAATCCACCAGACTCACGAAATCAGTGGATGTTTTGGCAGATTTTGAACAATCCTTTTGACTCAGCTGTAGAAAACGCGGCGACATTAGTGGGATTCAACCTACGACAGCTCCCAGTGGCTAGAGCTTTGACTGTACTAAAACCCCTCTTCGTTGCAATGGGTTCAAATTCCACCGAGGCTATTTTCACAGCTGAGTCAAAAAAATATAGTATTATTAAATATTGCCTCCGAGACACGGATTTTACAGTTTAAGAGAGCTTTACGAACTCTCGTACTGCCGTAAACATACCTGCTGTTGCAAATAAGAATAGGGTTTTAGACTCACATACTGTGTATTTCAAACGGTATGATGAGGCCTCTTAGCACCCACAAATTTCTGCAATATCTAAGGATTACGCTACGCAACTTAAAAACAACAATGATAAATTTGTACACAAGGCCCCACAAAATACTGAAATTCAGGAAACCTATGCAAGTTCTAAAACAAAAAATCGTAAAATGGCTCAATTTCCCATAAAACTAGTAAAAAAAGCAATTTTGCAATTTTTTCTGTAAAATATTATTGAATTTATGCGGATATCAAAACAATGAATGGGCGCAGATGATCGGGAATGTGGTCCATCGACGGCCGACATCGTGGCTTTTAAGAGAAACGTTGGGCTTATACCTCATAACTGTCGCATCGCTTAAACAGTTCTTCTAGTAGAGGTAGATGTTTGGGTGGAGCTCCCTATGTTACTGCCTGCGAGGGATTTGCCCTAAGCCCTAAGGCATAACTGGACGAGCAGGTTTCGTAACCCAATTGTTGAACCCACCTCCAAAACCAGTTAATATTTCCGATAACAAGCGGCAGGACGACGGACCCGTAGCTCAGTGGTTAAGAGCACTGGAGTTAATAGTAATAGATGGCCAAAGTACGCAGGTTAGAAACTCAGGTGCGACAAGGCCTTGGTCTGACGCAGAGTGGCTGATAACGGCTAATAAGTATCCATTGTCTTTGTCGCAGCTCCTGTCAACAAATATATATGTATGTAAGCAATAATGAGCACACACCGGTCCACTGGTTTTCATAAGCAAAAGGCTCGGAATGGGTGACCAAGATCGCGAACAGGCAACCATCTGCGTTCACCAGTCAGTTTATGCGGAGTTTCCTTGAGTTCCATCTAGAGTCCTCTCACGCAGGCGCATAGGGACTAGGAATTATTTATGGACGAGTGCCGACAAAGACTAGGGAGACCTAGATAAGCTATGTGGGACTTATAGGCCTGTCGCGAGGGTGGGACTGATACTGGTGATCCAGTTATTAACTTCACCGTGGGTTTGAATATTCTCCGAATTAGAACTTCCCGCGGAGTTTAATTTTTCTACATTTGCGAGGCTATTTTCGTTGACCCCTACCGCGGGAGTGCTGCATTCTTCAGTTGACCAATGTTAGTGGTACCATCAAGGTTGGCGTGTCCGCTGCATGTTCGATTGGATTGTAGCCTTAAGTGCTTCGTTATTAGCAAATAAGAAGTCAAACAGTCTTGTGGTGGATAATTTCTAGTTTGCGTAAGACGGGTACTCAGTAGCCATCGGCACAGAATTTGCTCGTCAATATGACGGAGGGCACGAGTTCAAGAAGTGCCAAGATGAGAACCCAAACTTGATTCATCGGTGAGGCTTCCAAGAGTGGTCCTTTAGCTGTAATATGCAAAAACGACGTCGAGAAATGCTACAGTTCACTATTGACTGTAAAAACTCTGAGCTCTTTAATTTCGATTGAGTGAGTAGATGCATCTTGTAAATTGATTCATCTCTTAATAGTTGGGTAAGTAAAACGTCGTAGTTTCTCGTAATAGTTACAATCATCTACAACAGTATTTTTTATAAAAGCCGCCAGTAACATATATTAGCCCGAAGTTTCTTGGCGTACTTTCGCCCCAGTTAAAGCGTCTTACTTTGTACCATTCAAATAAAAATGACAGCTGACAATACAGTGATGATTAGCGAGAACGGAAAAAACCCCAAGTAGGATTTGTCTAAAGTTCTCATTATTATAATATCCGAGTTTTCGATGACACCAAAATAAGCAACTGGAAACTGTGTAGACTTCATCCTCATCATGAACGCAGAAGATAGCAAATAAGTGAATGCTATCTGGTGTTAAAGTACCCTCCAGTTAATCAATATTTTGTTTACTAAGTACTTTATTTAGATGTTCAAATTTGTTTCTAACGATGACAGAAACATTCACCATCTTAATTATGTTCCGCAACAAAAAATGTACCACACTAGACGGGGATTAAGGGACCAATGTGCCTCCTTATATAAAGTTTTCCGACGACAGAATCGCTCAAATTAAAAGTAGGTAAACCGGAACCTAAGTGTTTAACTCTGTTTCCAAAAAACGAACAGTTCCTATTGGGTGCTAATGTCTAGTTAACTGCCATGGGCCTCGTCTATTGATTTACTATAAACCCTTAGCAACTCAAAAGTTTGTTCTTCCGGGTACGGCTGCTTGCTCTATAACTAAAAAATAATCCGTTTCAGTCGCCAAACTTTTTTACAATTTGTAACTTGTGCTTATTATTAACTCTTACAATTACGTCCCTACATGCTGGTAGAATTGTGTGACGGTGCCGATAGCGCTGATGGCTATGTGCAGTGGGTAGAGGTAACTGCATATTCAAATAATGCATAAATACTTATAAAATGTATTAACTCATATTCGAAAGAATGTTTACCAGGTGGCATTTTTGGTTATGTTGTAAATTATATCATACAGTTTTGATTTCAAAAATTAGATCAAAAATTCATCAAACACAGCATTTGAAGTACGGGATGTGAGTTTTATGTAAATTCGAGTCGCAAAGGCCAGTGACAACAGGAATGTGCAGCCGGTCTAAAAGTAAATTTTAACGTAAACACGTTTTCATTGAAAGTGATAACTTTGGTTTGGAAGAAGAATACGCTTTTTATAATTGCAGCCCGTGTTAGAACGGCTCAAGTTCAAGTGGTTTATAGTGTAAGTGCCAAATATATCTAGTTCGTTCTAGTTACTTTAGAGAACACCAATCATCGGTGGAACGATAAACAGGGATAGTAATCGTAACCAGATCTAAAACAGTGAACAGTCGAAATGCCACAATATAACGGGGACTTTAGACAAACCAATGGAAAGTCAGTCGTCTCGACAATCTCGTATCACTGTCGTTCAGACAGTAAAAAACCAAAAACTGAGATTGGTCCTGGATAAAAAATTTCATTATTTTTTGATATGCCGTTGTGTGAGTTAAGAGGTACCGTTAATGTCGGTGGCCAGTCTATTCGTCTCCTTTATGTATTCCAGTTGTGCGTTGCGCTTAGTCTGCCAGGTCACGATTGGTGGCGGAAAGCCTATGGGTACTTCGCATGGCAGACTAAGAGAGTCCCCAATTCTGGCACTAAGTGTCACGACAGGAGATGGTTCGAATTTTCCCATTTCTAAAATTAAAATAAAACAGCTTGTCAGGGACGTATTTTGCACTCCAATACATGAGCGAGCAGAGAATTTGGGGTGGAAAATACATTGCGGCAAGCATTCACATGTACCTGCGCGCTTAACGTTTATCGTGTTTGAGACGGCAACACCATATTTGTTTTCTGCAAAACATTGATAAAGCCCGTCGTCATCCGTTCCTGGCTTTGCGAGCACAATGGTGCCTTCGTCTGGCCATTTCGTGTACCTTCCTATATTCCCGGCCCAATTAAAGTCCTTTCCATTTTTCTTCCACCTATAACTAAAATCAATAAGCTCTCGAATTTTGACTCACACTGGCGGCGGTGACGCTGACACCTTGCATGGTAGAAAAATTGCCTCACCTGGCACAAAAACGGCCTCTTTTTTCGGCATTTTAACAAAGGACGGAGGATAAGAGACTTTCAAAATCATGCGAATGCTGTAAATAAGTTACCTGCATATGAAAGGTTGATCTCAACGTTCAAAACCGCTATGAATAAAATCACCCTCTCCATTTTTGCTTCACGCGCTATTTATCAACCTTAAGAACATAGAGTGGTTAAACTTTCGTGACCATTATATTCTTCCGGAGTTCCCACTTGTATGAATTTTTATTTCCGGGCAGTTTCATTATGTAATACCGATCTCACTGACCTTTAATAGCTCAAAATGTGAGTTAAGCATTGGCGTGCGTGGCATACCTCTTGGCAAGATGCTTCCAGACAAAACAGGCAGCATGACCAAATGTTCCGTCGAAAATAGCGAAACAGTAAACCAAAGTGGGCAGAAGGCGGTAGAACGGAACACCACAAAGGATGCACTATACGCCAAACAGAAAGGAAGATAAGCAGGTTTGTAAGCGTTTAACGAGGAACTATTCACGCCAAAGTACGCATGTCAGACAAGATGACTGACGAGCAAAATAGGAAATGCAATAAGCCGAAATATTAATGTGACACGAACCAAAAATTTATATGCTGAGACATAATGAGCAAGAAGTAGTCAAGTGGAACCGCCGTCATGCACCTTGAACAGATCTGTATACAACCCATATAAGTACCAATAGTAGTGATAACGCGATTACCGCGTGATGTGTCAAAAGAAGATAAGTTTACCAAAAGAAATCTATTTTTGCTTCAGGCGTTCTCAGTGGCTGTTTCGACCGCCTTTCTTTAGGGACTAGGGAGCCGTCCACACAGCTGTCATTTTAGCGCTCATTTTGCCTGATGGATAGCTCATAACTTCCGACTGTGGGGCTCAATCAGATCCCGTTACATCGTGGCCTGTGTCGACCCCGCACTCGCTGACCCCGAAGGCAACTGGCAGTCCCAACTGTTTTTAGCTTTCGCGGCCTACATTCGGGCAGGTCCGTAGAATCAAGTAGAGGACAAGCAATTATATTTATCGTTGACTGAGCAGTCGGTGTTAATCCAGGCTTCCTGTATCTGTTGGCGCATAATCACAGTCTTGGTCCGCAATCTCTTCAGTTTATTTGGCAAGGATAATAGGTGAGGCCTATGAAAATCCTACTGACTACATGTCAGCGCGTTAGATACAACTGTACACGAACGACAAAAGTCTCCGCTATAAGAACAGTACTTGATTCCTTTGAGTGGCATTGTCTTATAGAAAACATTTACGGGGGGTCGCGATGTATTTAGTTCAGGTTCAGACTGTCCAGGGAAAAGAAGGGACACAAATGATCACACAAGCACTTCTTAAAGAGTTGCAGGTACGTCGCCTCCACGACTGACTGAGGGAAATCCTCCCATTTCTCCACTACCCTTTGCGTGAAAAATTCAGAATGATGATTCAGCCTGGGGATTTTGTCCGTAGCTTCATCGAGTGACCACAAAGATTGGCTGAAAGGCTCCACTGAGACATGTCTTCTTTTGTGGGGGAACGAGGTTAGCTGTCTTCCACTGTGTGGGCAGCCTTCCAAGTCTCATTGACAGCTCAAAGACAGTCGAAAGAGGGTTTGACAGCTCCGTTGATAGCTCCTTTAGTATCAGCTCAGGAATCCCGTCGGGTCCAGGAGACTTATCTGGTTTCATTTGGCTAAGGACACTTCTTACTTCTTGAACGGGCAAGGCAACGGTTTCAATGACGGCAGTATCTCGTCGCATTTGAAGCTTCCGGCTTTCTTGATTTACTTCAAACTCTTGATTGTCTTTAGCGGACTCCTCCGTAAAAACCGATTGAAAAAACAAAAAAAGTCATTGCACCTTCTGCGACCCTTCAACTGGTAAGTTTTCGAGGTTATACTTTGGACGCGCAATTTCGTCCCTATGTTCCCTCTTACTGCGGATGTACCCATAAAACTTCTTGGGACATGGAATGGATTCTGCTTTCAGTCGGCGCTCGAAAGACGTTCTAACAAGCCGTATTTGTTTGCGCCATTTATTGCGCTGCTCCTTATATTCGGTGAATGTTATTGGATCTCGAAGTTGCAAATACTTCTTCCACAGTCTCTGTTTCTTCTTCATCGTCTTCTTTGTCATCGGAGTGACCCACGGCGGTCGCGCACATGGCCTGGTTACTCACCAGAAATGTTAATTATTCCAATTTTTTAGTTCATGCATCGTGCCCTCACAGAATGCGCGCCATCGACGCTCTTGGCGAAACCTTCTGTATTCGCCATATACTAGTAGTTTGGTCGCATCTTCCTTCCCCCATCCTCGGTTAGACTCGGATGAATGTAACCGACCGCATCTGGGTTCCTATCGCCTCGGGACTGATCTTCATGATGCCCTCACTGAATGCGCTCCATCGATGCTCTTGGCGAAGCCTTCTATATTCGCCATATACTAGTAATCTGGTCGCATCTCCTTTGCCCTATCCTCGGATGGACTCTGATGAATGTAACAGACCACATCTGGGTTCTTGTCGCCTCGAGACTGGTTGTCATCGTGCCCTTACAGAATGCGCTCCATCGGCGGTCTTGACAAAGCCTTCTATATTCGCCATATACTAGTAATCTGGTCGCATCTCCCCCCATGCTCGGATGGAATCGGTTGAATTAAACCGACCGCATCTGGGCTCCTATCGGCTTGAGACTGGTTTTCAATTTCGGCACTTATTTTTCTTATTCAAGGCGATACAGGCCAGTCCTGACCGACCCGCCTACGTACCATTTTATGAAATCCGTTACACAATGCCATATACAGCTGACATTTATTTCGGCCATGTAGATCTCGGACTATATTCCATTTTGTACCGCCACATGCAGGCCAGTCCTCCCTGTTTTTTTCTGATGCTATTTTTCTGAGGGTTTTTTTTTCTCCTGTTAAATTACTACAATCATTTTTAAATTTTGCTTTGGAGTTTTTTTTTTTCACCCCTCGTTTTTTTTCATTTTCATTTTGCTTAACGGACTTCTAATCTCAAAAACTATGCATTGCACTTTGTGCAGATTTTGCCTACATCGTCTAAAATTTGCGTGTTAATTTATTTTTACTTGCTTTGATGGGACCCCGACGGGTCTTTAATAAAAATAATTGAATTGAATTGAATTGAACAATGGGAGTCAATTAGATGGTCTATAGTCCCGCTAAAATACTCCCCGAATTCTTCTGAATCTTCCATGTTGACTGACCAGGTTTCCTTCAAAAGAGTATGTCTCATTGCTTTAAAGTCATCCTTCCAAATATTTCTGCGCCTCTTGATTTTTAATTGTTAGTTCGATAGGATAGAGCACACGCAGGTAAAGGCAATATGATCGCTTAAACCGAGTGGAGGTTGTAGAATCACTTCCCTTATGACACCTTCTTCTTTGCTGAATACGAGATCTAAAAAGGTAGATCGTTGTCCTTCTCTCAGTCTTGTTCCGAATTTTATATGTTGAATGAGGTATTCATCCAGCGAGAGAGAGAGTTGTAGTAGCTTATGGTTAAATGACGTGGACGGGGCGTTTGTTAAGGGAGTTTTCCAGTTTATTCCTGGAGCGTTAAAGTGACCCAGAAGTACTGAGTTCTCCTGTTTGCATAACAACTCCAATGCACTAAGTAATTTCATATCGGCGATTTCATTCGAGCTGGGAGGCCGATAGACAAGACACAGGTTAAGTGTCGGTAATGAAATCATTTCAAAATTTCGCGGTGCCACATAGGATATTTCTCGATGACAGCACGAAATGTCATTCGACAAATAAATCGCTGTGTGTCCTCCTCTACGTTCAAATCTGTCTCAACGAAACGCTGGGTAGCCTCCGATACTGACTTCGCTGGTGCTTATTTTCTCAGTCAACCATGTCTCTGTTTGGACAATTTTGTGAGGCTTCTGTTCAGAGGTTAGTGATCTGAGTTCATCTAGCTTGTTGAGGAGACTCTGACAGTTGGTGTAGTAGATTTCTAGACAACGACCACTGGTGCTCCCAGCCTCATAAGTTGGCACCTTAAAAGCGAAAAGTTAAGGATATTTCTTATCTACTTGGCCTGGGCCGCTACCTTCATCTTTGAGTTCAAACCTCCAAAGAGCAACTGATGCTCATGCACCCTCCTTTGCAATTGTCAGTCGGTTTCTCCGACTTGTTTGGACTGTTACCGCCGTGGTCAAGTCGATAGGCAACGGCGACTTTCCCTAGTCATGGACGGGGTTTTGGTCCGAATGACTTGCCGGCGGAGGGTAAGTTACGTCTGTAACCAATTCCCCTTTCTAGTACCCACAACCTCAGAGACTCTCTTCACCTACAGAATGTTTCGTCATGATTTCGGCCGATTGTACTCCTTATTTCGTTTCGCTCGAAGCATTCGACCACCCTTAACGGATGCCTATTGGTAGCCGTTGGTCATGAACGGCTCTTGAAAGAACTTGGTCCCGTTTTATTCGTTGGCGGGCATGCTGAATTGGGTTTTCACCCCGCGATATAGCGTGCGCACATAGCTTCATTTCTATTACTGCGGGCGGTCGTTGTTGTAACGGTTGCCTGTAGATTGTCGCTGTCAGCTGATCGTCCGGTTATCGGCAGACGATAATATAGAGGAACTGAAGTTTTTGCTTTATTTCCTCGTCCGTAGTGAGCCGTATGCTGTGGATGAGTTAATTCAGTAGTTTTTTACAGTAGACAATCTTGTCCCGATCGACGATGACGAAAGTAACTCCAGCGTAGCGTGCCTGAACTTTGGTTTTCATTCATCAAGCATCCGTTCTTTAATCTTTTGTTGAACCGCCTCCACTGTGAGCTCGAGAACCTAGTAAACCTGCGACTATCCGCTCACTTGGTCGTCAGTGCGGCCATCTGCTCACTCTGCCTCCTGACTGCCCCACGCGAGACCTTGAAGCAGCGCGGCAGGCGTTCGAGGCCAATCGGCGCTGCATCTTTCGCTGATTTTCGGGAGGCCCACAGAGCCTATGCGCACGCACTGCGCGCAGGAATGGGTGCAACCGGGGTTACTCTCCCTTGTCTTGTGAGAACTCTTGCGGAAACTGTTTCTGAGCTGCGCGTAATGCCTCGGTGATGCATGTCCATCTAACCGCCTTCCTGGACTTCGGATTTGGGAAACTTCGAATTGTCGAC